AAGGTAGCTAGTCATCACCACCCACCAATAATTCGTGGGCTACTTTTTACCAACGAACAGTGGGATTGACATTCACATAATAATGCCCCCACGGATGAAAGGGCGAGCATGTTTGGTGGGACGGGGTTTTGAGCCCGTGACCTTCAGATTGCGAGTCAAACGCCCTAACCACCTGGCCACGTAACCCTGACCCACAGCACGAGGACTTATAACATGTCGACACGTAACCTTGACCCACAGCACGATGACGTTATACATGTCAACACGTAACCCTGACCCACAGCATTATACATGTCGATACGTAACCCTGGCGCACAACATGAAAACATTCTACATGTTGACATGTCTAGGAACTAGGCTTGTTTATATAACCTGTTTCAGTGTAAGTTATCGTTATCAGGTTCTAAAAACTAGGTTTCTTTATATCATTTGATTCAGTTATCATCATTAGATACTGGGTTTTTTTATATCATTTGTGTCAGTTATCATTATTAGCTTCTAAAACTGAGTTTCTTTATATTACTTGTTTCAATATAAGTTATCATTATCAGGTTCTAAAACTGGGTTTCTTTATATCACTTGATTCAGTTTCAGTTATAATTATCAGGTTCTAAAACTGGGTTTCTTTATATTACTTGTTTCAATATAAGTTATCATTATCAGGTTCTAAAACTGGGTTTCTTTATATCACTTGATTCAGTTTCAGTTATCATTATCAGATTCTAGTAACTGTGGTTCTATATAACACTTATTTCAGTGTAAGTTATTATCAGGTTCTAAAACTAGGTTTCTTTATATCACTTGATTCAGTTATCATAATTAGATACTGGGTTTCTTTATATCACTTGATTCAGTTTCAGTTATCATTATCAGATTCTAGTAACTGGGTTTCTTTATAACACTTGTTTCAGTGTAAGTTATCATTATCAGGTTCTAAAACTAGGTTTCTTTATATCACTTGATTCAGTTTCAGTTATCATTATCAGATTCTAGTAACTTGGTTTCTATATAACACTTGTTTCAGTACAAGTTATCATTATCAGGTTCTAAAAACTAGGTTACTCTATATCACTTGATTCAGTTTAACTTATCATTATCAGATACTGGGTTTCTTCATATCACTTGTTTCAGTTATTATTATCAAATACCGGGTTTCTATATATCATTATCAGATTCTAAAAAGTGACGTTGTATGTTTTTCAGTTTCTGCGAAGGAAAACTTTTTAAAAACCTGAAACAGGCTCAACAACAAGAACCAGACTCCACAACAGGAACCAGGATCAACAACAAAAACCTAGCACAACAGGAACTGTGTCGAATTGACACGTGTGTTGACACTTGGGAAATCTCTGATACGGAATGTGACCGGCACTTGACCCCTGCTGGCGTCGCAAGATAACCTGGACCGGTGATGTCATCTTTAGTTTGTTATATGGTGGCGTCGTACGGCACTCGTCACATCCCACGATCACAACACCATTCACAGTGTTAATATCGTTTGTACGAAGGCTTATCAGCTTATGATTACACCTGTACCTGTTCCTCTGGTGTCTGTTTGGCTAAATAAAATTCATTTCTCTGAATTGGTTTCTTGTTATTCATCTACAGTGAATTTCTAGCAAAGCTACACGAGAGATATCTGTGCTAGCCGTCCCTAATTTAGCAGTGAAAGACTAGAAGGAAGGCAGCTAGTGATTACCACACACCGTCAACTACTCTTTTTACCAATGAATAGTGGGATTGACCGTCACATTAAAACGCCCCCACGGCTGAATGGCCGAGCCAGTTTGGTGGGACGGGGATTCGAACCCGCAAAAAAAAACAACTGACAATTTTCACAAAATCTGTTTCTTTTTGGTTCACAACTTTTACAAAAACTATTATTGATGACTAATAGCTATAACAGAATTCTTCCTTAAAGGAAAAAAAACCCTTTCTTTCAAGGTAAATACCCTTTTAGGAAAAAAACCCTTTCATTCAAGGTAAATACCCTTTGAAGAAAAAACCCTTTCCTTCAAGGTAAATACCCTTTGAAGAAAAAACCCTTTCCTTCAAGGTAAATACCCTTTGAAGAAAAAACCTTTCCTTCAAGGTAAATACCCTTTGAGGAAAAACTCCTTTCCTTCAAGGTAAATACCCTTTGAAGAAAAAACCCTTTCATTCAAGGTAAATACCCTTTGAAGAAAAACCCCTTTCCTTCAAGGTAAACACCCTTTGAAGAAAAACCCTTTCCTTCAAAGTAAATACCCTTTGAGGAAAAAACCCTTTCCTTCAAAGTAAATACCCTTTGAGGAAAAAACCCTTTCATTCAAGGTAAATACCCTTTGACTAAACTCTTTTATGACTGATAAACTTGACAAAACTATTTCCTCATGGCTGATAACTTTGAAGAACATTTTAACAAATGGTTAAGAATCAAGGTTACCAGTAAAAATGTTTCAATCCTAGTAACGGTTTCCTGGTTACTAAACTGAAACGATATTTCTCTTTGTTTTTCAAATCGAGAGACAGTTTTTGTTTTTTTTTCCTAGAAGCCTGGAATTATTTCATATCGACGCAACTGCCTTGATAAAATAACAAACGATTGGATCGTAGTTTCTATAGCAACTTGCCATCACTACCATCAACAACGATTTAATATTAGGTCTTCAAGAAATTAATATCGCTTTTTTAAATGAAAAAACCCGAACAACTTATATATCAAAACAAAACATTTAGTAAATGAAATAGTCTCCATTCTTATCGATGATGCTTTTACATCTTACAATCGGGTTGTTAATGTCCTGATTAAAGAAATCACTTGGCTCTGAAGCAAAAAACATGTCGATGTTCTCTTTAACACCTTCCACATTTGCAAGATGGTGTTGCAGCGAACGAACAAGATGGTAATCTGATGGTGCCATATCTGGAGAATATGGTATGTAGGGGAGAACTTCCCAACCCAACTCCAGAATCTTGTGTTGCGTCAAACGTGCCACATGTGGACGTGCATTGTCGTGGAGAAGAACACCTTTCCGAATGAGTGAAGGGAGTTTCTAATGAAGGGCTTGATTTAAACATTTCAGTTGCTGACTATAGATCTCTGCATTGACGGTTCACTGTGGATTGAGGAGTTCGAAATGAATTACTCCTTTGATGTCCCACCAAATGCAAACCATCACTTTCTGCGGATGGAGTCCAGGTTTTGGGGTCGGAAGTGGTTTTCGTCTAGGACTGAACCATTGTTTTTGGCATTTAATATCCGCATAGAGAATCCATTTTTCATCACTGGTGACAATTCTGTCCTAAAATGCTTCACGCACCAGAAGAAACGTTCACACGTTGGAAACGATGATCTTCGGTGAGTTCGTGAGGCAACCACAACACCTTCATTATGAAGTTTTCCCATATTCCTTAAATGTTGACGTATTGTTTCATGAAAGACATACCATTTCAGGGCCATTTCACGAGTGTGTTGCCTTGGGTTAGACCACTAATGGCCATCATTGTAGAAACTTGTCGTATTCGTCACCACTTCTCTCACATTCTTCTTCCCACCTTCAGTGGAACTCTCTTTCTTTGTGGCGTTTGTCATACCCAAGATAATTGGCTTTTCTACCACCAAAAGCAAACAAACTTGTTCTAGTCCATGGAGAACTGTATCTTTTTTATATCACACAAAACTCGTTTTATTTCATTAAAAAGTATTTTCTACCATATAGCATTTGTCCTAGCCCAATAGGAATATTGCTTCCACACAGATTTTGTCCTAGCCCAATGGGAATGTTGCTTCCACACAGATTTTGTCTAGCCCAATGGGAATGTTGCTTCCACACAGATTTTGTCCTAGCCCAATGGGAATGTTGCTTCCACACAGATTTTGTCCTAGCCCAATGGGAATGTTGCTTCCACACAGATTTTGTCCTAGCCCAATGGGAATGTTGCTTCTACACAGATTTTGTCCTAGCCCAATGGGAATGTTGCTTCTACACAGATTTTGTCCTAGCCCAATGGCAATATTGCTTCCACACAGCTTTTGTGTCCTAGCCCAATGGCAATATTGCTTCCACACAGATTTTGTCCTAGCCCAATGGGAATGATACTTCCACACAGATGTTGTCCTAGCCCGATACTTCCACATAGATTTTGTTCTAGCTCAAGGAAAATGGTGAATTTTGTAGTTTCCAAATTCTTTTTACCTAATACCCAACTTTACCAGTGAATAGTACAGCTAAAGAACCACCATTCCAACAAAGCCATCAAACTACCAGTGAATGGTACGGCTAAAGAACCGCCATTCCAACAAATCCATCAAACTACCAGTGAATGGTACGGCTAAAGAACCGCCATTCCACAAAGCCATCAAACTTTACCAGTGAATGGTACAGCTAAAGAACCACCATTCCACAAAGCCATCAAACTTTACCAGTGAATGGTACGGCTAAAGAACCACCATTCCACAAAGCCATCAAACTTTACCAGAGAATAGTACGGCTAAAGAATCACCATTCCACAAAGCCATCAAACTTTATCAGTGAATGGTACGCCTAAAGAATCACCATTCCACAAAGCCATCAAACTTTACCAGTGAATAGTACGGCTAAAGAACCACCATTCCACAAAGCCATCAAACTTTACCAGAGAGTGGTGTAGACAAAGAACTACTACACTACAAAGATGCCAATCACTAACATCCTTTTGCCAGACAACAATTCCCGATATATTTTTCAATATTCCACCTTTTACTACTTCAGTGAACCCAAAATTTTCACTCACGAGTGGTTTGTTGTTAAGCACAAAGCTACACAAGGGGCTATTTGTGTTGTGCCCACGGTGGATATCGAAATCCGATTTTCAGCGTTCTAACTACTCTGAGTTACTGTTGTGCCTCACGAGCAGAATATCAACTTTGGTATTGTTTCCTTTCTCTTATTAATTACACAACATTCTCCTCCTCCTTCCTAACAACATATACCCTTCAAACAAACACATATACTAGCTTCATGCTACAGCATTTTGAAAACGTTTTTCAAGCAGAACCCAGTATCACAGCCTACAATATGACTCCATATATTTCTTGGCCATGTATAACCATGTTAAGAAATTAAGTTTGTTGAATTTCGCGCAAAGCTACTAGAGGCTATATCCGCTAGCCATCCTTAATTTAGAAATAATATACTAGAGGGAAGGCAATTACTCAATACTACCCTCCGCCAACTCTTTGACTTCCTTTTACTAACGAAAAGTAAGGTTGACCATCACAAGATAACGCCCCTTTGCTGAAAGGGTATGTTCGGTGACGGGTTTCGAACCCGCGACCAGAACATTTCTGATCGATCGCCCTAACCACCAGGTCATGCAAGGCCTACTACCCATTCAGAAAATGTTGTCGGTTTGTGTTATCTTAGTGTCTTTGTACGAAGTGTTTGAAGGCGAGAAATCATATTTTAATTGTTACGGAATTGACAAACATACTTTTTTTCTTCTGGCAACAAATTAAGTAAAATTTCGCACCTTACTTGTGACTGTGGAAAACGTCGAGTACAAATTTTGGCTAATGTGCCGAACCAATATGTGAATGTTTTTATTAAAAAAAAACTTTGTAAACGTCAGTAATGATAATCTCAACCAAAACACTCATGAAATATCAGTTTTTAATAGATAAGTAAAACAATGCAATGACAGTAACAAGAGTCAAGTTTTCAATTTGAATATAAAGATGATTCATTATAAGTATATGTTAGAATCCATCACCCAGAGTTGGCTGGCTCGATTACAGTCACTTTTCTTATGGCAACTAGAAACTGTACGGCGATGTACGTAGACTGTTTTGTTTTAGAAGTTTGGTCCGAGAAGGGAAATTTCCACTTTTGTTACGATAGATTTTTGGCTTTCAATTTATAGACACAAGTACTTGATCGGTTAAATGACTGAATTATTACCTTCCAGAAAGTAATTACCATCTATTGGCGTTACTAAGGATTTAATAACGAAAGAAAGAAGGCAGGTATTTAACTGCCTGTGTACCCTCAAGTAGATCTCGCATTTCTCTGTGCTTTGGGTGACGTCACAAACAGGAGGTGATGTTACGATATTAATTTGCTCGATGAACAAACAATAGATTAAAAATAATTTAAACACGAGAACTTTTAAATAAACTATAAAACAATACTGGTCATGTGAAACAAACATCTGAACTTAGCTTTTATTAATTGGATATGTAGCAGCATAAAACATTACGATTGTTGGTTGCTACAAGCGCGAAATAGTGTAACATTTGGAAGCTACTACAAGCCTGAAACAGCAAGCAGCATGTAACACCTGGAAGTTGCTAAAAGCGTGAAAGAGCTACTTTGAAACTGTTACAAGCTTAAAATAGCTTTGTACCAAAACAATATAAAATTCATATATAGTTTTTGGTAAAGAATTAAAATGGCTACATTTTTTGGAGTGTTATTGTTTGTTTGTTTCCACCATTTCTTGAGCTGAATGAATGTGTGCTACAAATTCAATGTGTGCTACACAGGTTTCAAATATGTATGCAGATTTATTATCACAGAAGACAGTAGTGCTGACAGTGACAAATATAAAATAATTGTGCATC